GAGGGGGTTATGTACATGTACCGACTTAGTTACACGCTGGTGTCGTGCAACAACGTCGCTACAACAGTATTGTGTTGCAAATGCCGCAAAACTCTTAAATAAAACTAAAACCTCTCCCCTACTCAGGCTTGGGACTGTATGGTATGTTCAGCATCGTCGCCTCCATCTTTTATCTGGACACGCTGGACGGAGGGCTTACCATCATCACCAACCTGTTCATGTTGGTCCAGGCAGGGGCTCAGGCTACCTTCACACTGGCCGCTCTTAGGGTGTCCGCTGTGGACAGTACCCAGGTGATGAACGTTGTCAAGATGGGATGAGATGGGATGAGATGGGATAGCATGGGATGGGGTGAGATGAGATGGGGGGAGATGGGTTGGGATGGGATAGGATGAGATGGGATGGGGTGGGTTGGGATGGAATGAGATGGAATGAGATGGGATGGGATGGGTTGGGATGGGGTGGGATGGTTTGGGATGGGATGGGATGAGATGATGTGGGTTGGGTTAGGATGGGATGAAATGGGATGGGGTGGGTTGGGATGAGATAAGATAAGATAAGATGAGATGGGATAAGATGAGGTGAGATGAGATCATCACCAACATGTTCATGTTGGTCCAGGCAGGCGCTCAGGCTACCTTCAAACTGGCCGCTCTCAGGGTGTCCGTTGTTGACAGTACCCAGGTGAGGAACATTGTCAAGATGGGACGAGATGGGATGAAATGGGATAGCATGGGATGGGGTGAGATAAGATGGGATGGGATGAGGTGAGATGGGATGTGATGGAACCTGACAGGACGGGATGATATTTGATGGGATGGGTTGGGATGGGTTGGGATGGGATGGGTTGTGTAGAGATGGGATGAGATGGGATGAGATGGGATAGGATGGGATGGGATGGGTTTGGATGAGGTGAGATGGAATGAGATAAGTTGAGATGAGATAGGGTGAGATGAGATGGGATGGGATGAGTTGGGATGAGATGAGATGAGATGAGTTGGGATGAGATGAGATGGGACGAAATGAGATGAGATAGGATGGGATGGAATGGGATGGGATGGGATGAAGAATCTTTATTGTCCAGACACTAGTACACTGATTTAGTGTTTCATCACACGCACGCCCGCGCATGCGGGCGCGCGCACCCACACGCATCTACACCCAAATGCACACACACACTCACACACACACACACACACACACTCACACACACACACACACTCA